CCCATGCTTTCGGGGTTCTGCCCTTCGCGCCTCCTCCTAGCTGCAGCCTCAGGCCTGGGGCCCAAGGAGGATAAAGACGGGAAGCCCAGTGGAAAGGAAGAAGGAAACGACCAGGGGAATGCGAAGAGTGGAAGCGGAGGGAGGAGCTGGGCACTACCAGGGAGGAAGGAGGGAAAGGGAAACTAGTTGGGGGCGGCGAGAGAAGAAAGTCCGAAGTAAGTATCGAAGTCCCAAAGCACGGCTCGATGACAGGAGCTGCACTTAGTGTTAGTGACACTTGAGCCGAGTTACATGGAACCTGAGCCACCGACCTCAAATAAGCTGGTTGCTGAACTGCTGGAGTGTGAGCAAGCAGGTGCTCAGAGCTCCACACCTGAGACCGCTCCTATAAAGTATGTACAAAGCATCGAGGAAATGGCGACAATGGTGTAGCTTTAATACCAATCTAAGCATGCACCAGGCGTTTTCCAAGACTGTGGTAAAAGAGCAGTACTGTTCCTTTCCTTGTGGACAGATCTGCGAGCCCAATTGAATCTATATATACAATACTTGTTCCCCAACTGTCCCTCCTTGCCCTGTGAAAACGTTTAGAAGCAAAGAGTAAAGCCCTAACCAACACCTCACTGGTTTAAAGATGTAAATTGTGCTCTGGAACCTGCGGTGGTGGGTTATGGGTATGTGTGTGTCTTGGAAACAAAGCAATAGAAATATGTCTTTGGTCAGCACAGACCTTACAGGTAAATACGGTAGACAGTGTAATGAGTCACAAGTTGAAAGATTTTATCCAGTTATATTATTAGGCAGTTCTTAGTATTCATTTTTTAAATTTTCTCAAGGAATGCTTGAATGGATAAAGAGTCGTATGATTAAGTCAGTACCATGCTGAGCACCTAAGACAATAATCAAATGTTATAATTCATAGAAATGAATCTGATAGAAACAGAAAGTATGTTATTTACATTGTCTCTACACCATGCCAAAACATCTAGACAAATGAGGTATCTGCATATTTGGAGGCATCAAAGAATTGATTGATTTGGTTACTTTTGAGCTAAATGAGTGGGATCTTGAAAACAGCTGAGGGCTATTCTCTCCACTTAGGGGGAAAAAAGTTTATTCATTCAATAAACATTGAGCCTCTGCACTGTACTATGTGCACAACACTAAACTTACATTGACATCCAGGAAGTATGCTTCCCATTCACAAAGAGTTTATGAATTAAGTCATATCTTGGTACATAATCAGATAAATACCTACTATTGAGCACTTTTTGGGTGCTGAGTAGCATCCCTCATCTTACCCCATAGCCCTTGGTGTTCGGAGTAACCCTCGTCTGAGGTTGCTCATTTACAAATGAGGAAATTGAAACTTAGAAGCAACTTGTCCAACATTACACACCTAGAAAGTGACAGCCAGGATTTGAATACGGGCATGTCTGATTCCAAAAACCATGCCATTGTGAAAACTGCTTCTCATTAGATGACAACAAGGTTAGTGATGGATAAAAGATGGTGACATTAAACTGCAGTAGGGGAGCAGAAGTTAAACAAAAATAACTTAGTTTTTGTGGAAAGATTGAAGAACACCAAAATATGTTTCAAGGAAAGATTGAGAATCTCCTTTTAAAAAGATTTTATGAAATAGATCAACTATCTAGAATGGTTACATGCAACCTAAAGACAAAAGAGATGAGTTAACTGTTTTCTGGTATGTGATCTCATCCTCTCAAATTTCGTCATCACTGTTAGAACTAGCCTGTTTGAGGCAAATAACAATTCTTGTGAACCACTAGTAGAGTTAAAAAAAAAAAAAAAAAAGAAAAAGCATTAATTCTTTTTTGTCTATGTTGCACAAGAGAAAGCAGATTGGTTTTAAAAAATGCTCCACAAGCTAAATATAAACAAACAAACAAAAAACAAACTGAAATTCATGTTTTATCTCAAAAATAAAAATGTTCCACAGCAACTGGTATACTGTTAGGGTGTTTTGTTTTTATTTTATACTTTATCCTTAACTATCAGAGCCTACCCTTTAATTTGTTTGAAACTTAGTCAAATACAATATCAGACAATAGGTACCAATTTACTTGTCACTCTACTAAGAGTAGAAAACCAATGCCATTTAATGACATCATGCTACAATTTACTACAGGAAGCAAAGTAGGATACCATGGATGGGTACTTCTGCTAGGGGAATTTAGGAGAGCAGTATGTAATCTCCTAATTTAGAATTTGGCTGGTAGACAAGAGTTTAATACCCCTACTCTCATGAAAATAGCAAGGAATCTTTAATAAGCACCAGTAGCCATGTCCTTAGTCCTACATTTTATCTAAAAGACAAAGCACTATCATGGCTATCATGCCAGGCTAAGGGACTGATGCAATGGGAAACCCTAAGATAAAGACGTCCCAGCTGAATTACAAAACAGCTTTCCCTGCAAGGATTTTAAATTCTAATTCCAAACCTTACAATCATAAAGGAAATAGACAAACCCAAACATGAACATTGCAGAAAATAAATCATTACCTGACCACTAGGAGTTACTATCTGAAGTACTGTGTTGTATTGGCTTTCTAAAGTGGGGTACGGGGAGTGGTGAACACTGCAACCCTTTTCTCTGTGTTAACTTCTCCTGAGCCTGGCTTATCTTCCATATTAACTTTGTGCCTCAAGATGCTTTGCAAATCCCCTGGCAAGTACTGATGGTGGTGGTAATGCCTTCTTTTAGCCTTTGAGGAAATGCCTCTCCTGTCCTTGTTTTCTTGCAAAGTCACAGCATAGAAATAAATATATTTCATTCAAACAACACTGAAATTCACAAATCCAATTCTGTGAAAATGTTTTGGTTTTTTTACATCTACACAAAGTGCACACTGGATGGGAAAAACTGACCTTGCTCAGGATTCTTTCGACTTGAAGTGTAAAGGTCAAAGTATGATAGAGCACATGTGTTTCTACCCGGTATTGATACTGAAGTGCAGTGATAATACCCTCCTGAGGAAACGGTAAGGTGCTTTCTGCTTTTTGTAACTGACTGTCAAGCTGGGAGCTAAAGATTCCACATTTCTTTTAAATAAAAAAAGTAAGTAGGCCGTAGTCTCTTTGTCAACAGAGCACATTCAAACTGTAAGCATTTCTGCTTCTGCATCTGCTTCTAAATTGCTATGAACTAACTCTTGTCAAATGCTTTGTTTTAAACTGCAAAAAACAACTTGAACAAAGGCTATGCACATTATTTACTAGGTGGTAAAATGGGAAATGGAATTGAACCCAATGGTTACTGGTTATTTTATCATTACCTCTATTTGTTCACATGTTTACAATAGTTATTTTTCATTTCAGCAAAATATAATTTGATGAGGTGATGAACACTTGTTAGTGTTGCAAAATTATTTTCTTAGGTTCCTGGGGGTGTGGGTATATGAGGAACGTTCATATAACTCAATGAAAAGAAACTTCCATTTATGTCCAAACAAGTGTTATTTTTATCCTCTGTCATCAAACTTTCTCAACTGTCATCCTTGAACTGCAGAATATAATATTATTAGCTACCACTTTGATCTAACTTTGTACACATATAACACATGGTTATGGTGGTGGAGGTTTCCTTTATTATTTGCATGAATGTGTGAATAAATACTGAAATTCTTTACCTACTTTTCAATTCAAATTGATAAATCGGCCTTGTTTACCTGATTACAAAGCAGATCCTTCCCTCCTGAATCCTTTCTTTATCTAATGAACACCTTAATAACCAAAGTACCATGATCTACTATGGGATATTTTCTAGATGTTTCATTTATATCTTCTATCATCAACTGGAGTGCAAACTAATTGAATGTCTTTTACTACCTATTTCCTTGAGACAAAGTTATATAAATTCCTTTATGAGATTTAGTCATGCTAATATCTATACTGTGTGTGGAAGAATTAACAAAGCTAGCTAGTTGTGGATTGGAAAGGAAAGCTTTTTAGGGCAGAGATAATCGAAACTAGTATTGTTTTGGGCAGTTAGAGGAGTCCTGAGCAAACAAAACATGAAGGTATCTACTACAGTTTGGAGAATCATTACTTGACTATTTTTTTTTTTATTTCTCTTTTCCTTAAAGACTTCATCTACTATCCTCTATGCATGTAATGGGGTGTGAAAATGTACAGTATATACTATAATGTGCCCCACCTCCAAATTTAATTATAAACATATAGCTCTTCTTCTATAACTAATCTTGTGTTCTGGAGCACTTGTTTCAGTTGCCTGGAGATGCAGGTTGGGCAGAGTAAAGATTAACATTGTCAATTAAAATATTAAAATGTGCTCTGAATTAAAAGTATCTTGTGCAAATACAGGTTTTCCCCGTTATCCAAAGAAGAGAATTTCTATAAAAACTCTTGTAAGCATAAATGCAGAAAAGCAAAGAAGCAATTATCATTAATTTATATGGAAAAATTTTTGAGCATTCACAGGTCCAAAAAATAACCTACCAAATCATACCAAATATCACACAAAAGTCCAAATAACACTAACATATAGTATTAACGAAAGAAGGAATAATACAATAAATACTCATGATGCTTTCTACACCCATCGATCCACTCAAGCAATAGGCTTTTCCCTGGATGCCATCTGAAAGAGACTACTTTGCTACTATCAGAACCATGTTCAGTTTTACACTAAGCACAACAACCTTATGAGCTCTCATGTTTTTCTGATACCTTAGTACATGTATCTTGGTAATGGATGTACAGATTAAATTGAGATAAAACATAAAATCTCACAGACACAGTTCAAATTTATGATGGGTTGATGCTAAAATGCCGAGTGTAGTTTCAAGGGAAGGAGCTGGACAGTATCACTCTGGCTGCTCAGGAAGCACCTTGCCTCTATAATAGCTGATCCGAAACAAATGCTGAACTCTATTATCACTTTGGACTTTTTTGTAAAAGTGAAAATCCTCTTCAGATTTATTTCTGTTAGTGAAAGTAGGTACTAATGTAGGTCTTTCGTAAAAACACGGTGGCTTAACACAAACTTTCAAAAGTGGGGGAGACCTGTATTCAATCTAAAATTTAAAACAGGAGCGGGGAAACTTTTTTCTGCCAAGGGCCATTTGGATATTTATAACATCTTTCACAGGCCATACAAAATTGTCAACTTAAAAATTAGCTATGAAAAAAGCTCCTAGATTTATTAAATTTCAAGTCCAGCCCATGGTTGCCTTGGCAGGGCCAGAACAAATGATTTCATGAACCATATACGGCCTGTGGACTGGATGTTCCCCACCCCTGCACACTTTAAACTCATGTATGGTGGTAAGTGAACCCCATAACCTCTGCTAGATCCTAGTTGAAGTCTATCTCATTTTGCCTCACTATATCCACTGCTTAAATGTCCATGATATATGCCTCATTCTTTCACTGTAGGTAATGCACAATGATTGTGTAAGAAAGTTCAGCTGTCCCTCCCTACTCACTGTCCAGGATTCCTACGTCAGCTGCTAGTGGCCTGCTAACCCTAGAACCTTCAGCCATATCCTCCATCCAGCCCCTGACTTTGGGGATATTCACCGGATGCCACAGCAACTGCCTGGCAGGTATGCTGCCTTTTTTTTTTTTTT